GGGGGGGGGGGGGGGGGGCAAAGGCTCTCAGATCTGCACATAAATGTGGGGCGGGGCGGTCATCCAAAGTACTACACGGTTTGCAATGCTCAGAGGGATCCATATTCTTCCCCACGGCACTGGCGCATTACAATAGGAGCTACTTCAGGGTCCCCCAACTCCTGGCTATTGATTCCAATGAGCAGCAGCAATGGAGGAAAAATGACACTGACCCAGTGTTGCTATGGGGTGTCTGTGTGTGTGCCCCCCACTACTCTCCTGAAGTCTCCCAGGGGGTGTTCTTATTGGAAAGGCTTTCCTTTCAGGCATGTGCAAAGACCCCAGACAACCTGCACGGCCTGCAGCAAAGGGGCTATTTAAATCCATTGCCTGGCAGGCTGCAGAGGGGGCTCCAACAGCCCAGTCATCCCCCTTTACACAGAGCAGCACCTGCTGGGGGTCCCCAAGGATGGCTTGGGCCGAGCTGGATTGCCCCCCACCCGTCTTGCCCTTTAAAGCAACAAGAGCTGCCTGACCCATGAGGGAATCGACTCCCCCATCCTGGCTGGCCTTCCTTGTCCCGGAAGGAAGCTGCTTCTCTACGCTTATGGCTACCTGAGAGAAGAGGCATGGTGCACGGTTCCTTTTACCCGGGGTCTGGCTGAGACTAAGGTAGCGGGGAAGGGGGTGCGCGCGCTGGGAGACACAAAAGACTCAAGAGCTTCGTTATCACCTTGGCTTTATTACAGGCAGAGTAAATTGCTTTTGTCTGAAACAACATAATGGTCAGAAAAGGGAAATGGCATTTTCGCACTGCCTATTTATTCTCTGCTGGTGCTTTGCATATTAAGTTCTCTCTCTCTGCCATCAGCAAAATTGAAGCTGGGGCTGCAGAGTTTCGGGATACCTACAGCCGAGGCTGAACTTGCTGGCATCTGCGCCTCAAACTCTGGCACTGGGGCAGAAGGAGGGCAGCAAGTCCTCAGCCCCATCCTCACCTGCACCTTAATCAGCCGCAGCAATCGTTACATGCCGCAAACCAGGAAAAGGAGCCACCGTGGGATCCCCGTCTCCATCCTGGGCCCAGCCAGGGATAGCGCAAGGTCACCGTTTTGTGGCTTGCTGTAAGCCCACCAGAGAATCATGCAGCCCCAAAGGGGCAAAACGCAGCTGCCCAACTGCTCACGGGCAAAAGCCGCTGCAGCAACAGCGCCGGGCACTGCCCACAAGCACCCCTCACGGCTTGGGTCCTGGATGTCCAAAAGCCTCTTCACTCCAGGTAGAATCCACTGGACCTGTGTGGACAATCCGGGAGGGTCTCCTGCGGATGCTCGGAAGTCTGGAAGCTGCCCTTCTCTGTGGCGGCCCTGGTCCTATGAAACAGTCGCCCCCTGAAGTCAGGAGGGTAAAGTGATTCTTCTTTAAAGAGCATTTGGAGAGGACATGACAGGCCCCGACCAGCTGCTTCTTTCTCAGCGCTGGTATGGATTTCACACCTAAGTCCCCAGGGCTCATGACTGAGATAGCAAATACAGTGGGGCAAAAAAGTATTTAGTCGGCCACCAATTGTGCAAGTTCTCCCACTGAAAAAGATGAGAGAGGCCTGTAATTTTCATCAT